TCATTATCTTTGCAGCAATGGGTCTCCGGTGCTACAAATGCCACAGCCTAACCACCTCTAACGACTGTGAAGAAGAAGGCTTTGACACTTCAAATGCCCTTAAGACGACATGTGCCTACGGTGAAGTGTGTGCGGTGAGTGTGGCGCAGTAAAGAATTAGGGAGGAAGGAGTAGATATGTGTTGTATTGTGGTTGCAAAACTAAAATGTGTCTTACTACAATGGACTTAGCAGAGTAAATTGAAATCCGTTGTGTTTTTCCCCCAGAAAACTGTTGTTGGAAAGCTCGTCGCGCGTGACTGTATTTCTGGTAGTGGATTGAGTGATTCATGCGTTAGTGTTGATGATACAGCAGTCTGCTATTGCTCGACAGATTTATGCAATAGTGCAGTGAGCAAAAATCTCGGATTTGCCTTGGCCTTCATTTCCTTGGTGGCTGCCAAGTATCTGTAAAGCTGGTATCATGTCACAAAGTGCAGAGACTTGATTGTGGTATATGTTCTGCATTCATATTTCTAGCATGAATTTATTCAGATTTTTCATTTCATTTATTTTATTGGCACAAACAGTAGCTTAGACTTTTAATTTTAAAAAATTAATTAAATAACTTTATGCTGATGATAGGTAGGCCCTATCTGCATTGTACAATTTAGAGAAAATTCATCGTAGCCATTAGGCCTATTTATTATCAATACGGTCCCGGCGTCATTCCTTGAATCGGGACGGTACGTACTACTTTTCCGCTTGAGTTCACGATGTACACATGACATAGGTCATATCATGTAAAGATATTTATTTGTCCCAAATTATAAATTGTATTTTTAATGTATTACTAGAGATAGGTCCCTGCATTCAACAATTATGTGGATATTCATTGTACTGTTATTTACTATCAACTATTGCCCCGGCGTCACTAATTTGGATCAAGAACGGCACGTACAAAATGATCTTCAATCACTTCCTGATTTTTATGACGTGTACATGAAAATCGGGACGCTACGTACCTCTCTTATTGTGTTGACGTTGGGAACGTTCTACCTTCCTATCATGCACGATAATAATTTCTTCCTATTTAGTATTTGTATATGAATGAAATACTAATTATAGTCTGAGAATATTCATCGTAATTGTTTTTTTTTTTAAAGAAACATAGTACCGACGTCATTATTTTGGATCAAGACGGCACGTCCGGTGAATAATCACAATCTAGTTTTCTACACTAATTTAAGTGACTTGCAATGTCGTTGTCTAATTATTAAATTTATATTACCATAAGCTATAAAAATGTGTAAAATATAAGCATGTATCTGTACTTACATGGCCAGATGAATGAAAATACTCAATCGATGTGCCACCAAATCGTAACCAGCCTTCACCATGCCCTCACGATGTAACCGGGGACGCAACTGCCAAACAACTATTTTTGGCAGCGAAGGGACGCTACCAATAAACAATCAACAAACTACCGGGTTTCTGGGTTGATTTGCAAGGTACCGTACTACATGGCTCAACTATTTTTTACTTAAGGGTTAATTGGTAAAAATCGCACACAAATCATACGACGTCACTGACAACGCCGGGGACGGCAACTCTATTTTGAGATTAATTTTCCGAAAAAAGTTATACTAAATAACTTCAAATGACGAACTATTGTCTTTAGTTGTCTTTGTTGGTCATTCAACTGTCATTTTATCTATTTTTTCGTTGATATTACCATTCTCAATAATCTATAAAACACCCACATAAAAAAGTCACGTTAAAAAGCATCAGGATTAATCACACAACAGTATCCTTTCATAAACCTCTAATTTCAAAAATAATCAGTAAATCCTGTGCAATAAATAAAAATACATACATAATAAACTGATTAATAATCAAACACAACTTGCATAAATGAGGCCCCATGAAAAATTGTAATTTTTATGATTATTTAAGAAAGAATAATGCCGGGCACTCACTGCGTCGTACGACAAATCCAACTCCGCTCCCTGTGAACGATAGATGACGCAACGCCGTCTGCTGATTGTTGGTAGCAATCTGAAGGGATCGTTGTTAAAAACGATCCGTTGCGCGCGTCGTGTGGCGTTCTTCATAGCATCGGCCGACGACCGTTGTGCGCAGTAAGTGCCCAGCTTACATTCTATGTGTTGCATGCACACAGTGACACAAGTTGGCATGGAAACGAAACATACATCAAAACAATAATTAGCCTACCAATACTAGAAAAATTATTTAGAGGAAATTTAATAATTAAAATTTTAGTTTAATTATTGTATTATGCAATTTTTTTCTGTGGAGACAATGAAATTCTTTGTGGTGTATTCTTGGATGGAATTCTAGTTTATGGCTGTCTCTTATACACATCTATATGTGTATAAGCGACAGATATATATATATATATATATATATATATATAGTTTTACAACTCAGCTAAAGCGATCAGGTTATGGATGGAAAATAATTAGAACTCTGGTCGAAAAGCCTCTTTTACAGTTCATCGGGGTTCGTCAGGGAGAATTGTCGCAGATTATCGCAAACAAAAGTTCATTTAGCTCTATCGTTGTACCTGCGTACGTAGGTTTATGCATTGACAGTACCATAAAAATGATAACCACAGAAACTGAAGACACAACCTAGGCCTAGGGTCTACTACTCAAGTAACATACACCGCGACCGAAATGACGCGATATAGAAATTGAGACAACTTTCCGAATTACTCTTTCTATGTAATAATTCATAAATGTTTAAAGAAAAAACTCATAAATAATTATTCTTTGTATAATATATGTTTTCTCTATATATTCTTGATGTATTTTCATGTAACACGTATCCTGGGTTGAATGTTTACATTCTATGTTCAGAATTTGCGAATAAAGAATGAAAGACGATATCATTTACGACGTTAACCAACCAATAGAATAGTGGTATTATCTGCTTCTTATACGCAACATCATTTAGTATGCATGCCTATTTGATCCATTATTTCTAGTCACCCTTCAGCAAGCTTCAAAGAGAGAAGTCTAGAACGTTGTAAGTTGAGTTAGTATTTTTTATCCATAGAATCTATAGCCCTGATATTAAAACTATGGTTTGCAACCTAAACTAGGGCGGACAATGTACGCCTATTTTGTAGTGTCTCCAGTCATTAATAGAAAATAAAAATCATGGAATACTAACAAAGAGAAATACAATTTCATGATACTAGCAAAACACTGACATAAAAGTCACACGGGTGAAACATGTAAAAGACACTCCTGAAAGCCAAGCTGAAATTCATTACTTTGCCGGTAACGCTGATTTCTAACCAAATTGATATTGATACAGCAGTGTGTCTGATAATGAAGGTTTGTGAAAACTTGGACTAGAATACTGTTTTTAAAACACAAGGTTTGCCAGGCCCCGCGCTTGTTCTCGTATCTCCATAGGAACGGGACCATAGTGCCTACCAGAAATACCTATTCCCCATGTAGTAGAGGACCTGACTAAGATTTGTATGCACTTCATTTAGGAGAGAATTTCTCAACTGTTATAGACTAATATGAACTCAGAGCAAAGAGTATAAAACCTTCCTTAGCCACACGATGGTCACTCTGTGTATCGGCTAGGTGTACAGCTAGGCCTAGCCGAGAATTAAAACAAAGCAAAATAAGGGTATTAATTTCACTTGGCATGCAATCATACTTAAAAGAAGAACTTAAAGTTTCACCTTTTTGAGAAATGTTACTGAGTTTGTTTTCTCCTGCGCCTTTGATAAATTTTTGAATTGGCGCTATATAAATGTTTATTATTATTATTATACTTACACACTTAAAAACAAACTAGTCTACCAATAAAATCACCTGCAAGTTAAGATATGAGGCAAGTATGTCTACAAATTTGATTTTAAATTGATGTGATTAGGCTAGCCTAGACCCGGCCTAGGCCATGTCTAACCGCTTATAAAAATGCAGAAAAAAGACCCAAAACAAATTATAATGAAGTTATGAACTAACTAGTGCATTAAAATTATTCATATACTTACTACTTACCTATATAAAATTAAAGTGTATTGCTCACAAACGCCAATATTTGGATTTTAATACGCCTTTTCCACGAATCGGTAGACATCTTGAAGTGATGACAAACAGCCTAAGTCAGTGGTGCGTAACAAACAAAAATACGATAAGCTAGGCCTAGCTTCTGTACGCCTAGCCGATACGCAGTGTGGCTAAGGAAAGTTTTGCTTTTCTGAGCATGTGCAGATTGTGCTTATCTGGCTCATTTGCATAACAATACCGCACATAAGGCTAAATCAAGTTTTATACTCTTTGCTTAGAGTCAGAAGTGGAACGTGAATTTCGATTTGGTTTCGTAGTCAGATTTTCGAGAAAAACTTCAGCTACCCGTATTTCTCGACTGCATAGGCGTAGATCCCGGGGGGATGGGGATATATCCCCCCCCCCAATATTTGACAAGGGGGATGGTCCATTGTATCATTCCCCCC